TTTCAGCACCCTGCAGGTCGCGTGGAGCAGCCGTTCAAGGTGTCCTCTGGAACCACTTGCTAAGAAGCTGCTTCACTCTTTGCTGCAGGTGAAACACTGAATGCTGGGGATGTTTTTGGAGTCCCCTGTATGGACTTCCTCTTCATTTCTTCAGTAAAGGATGAGGTTTGGAGGCAACAGGTGGGACAATCACTGACAAACTCTGACAAACAAATGACCGAGGAAGTTGAGCTTCCAAATTAGAAGTGTTAGGAAGGGGATTGCAGGCAAAAGGATTGTTGGCATGTGCAACTAGACTGTAAGCTGAGTTTAAATCTACAGTGCAAAAAATTAGTGCAGGGATAAAGACAGGAACTGGTTCGGATAGGTCTCTATGAGTTTGGACTAGATTTCTGTTGTGAAACGATGGCATGGGAACTTCGTAGTGTGAATAACAGTTAGTGTGGGCGAGTGGGCAGTCCTGACTGCGAGGGTGCTTTGCCATGCATTTCACACATAGAAGGTGACAGGTAACATGTTCAGAAGATGTGGAGGAGTCGGCATCTCTTTCTTTTAGAAGCTTCCTTCCCTTTTGGGGAACAAATTTTGGAAGGTATTTTGCTGTGTTAATATGGAGAGAGGCATGTAAAGGCATTTCCAGACTTCCCAGTGCCTCTAGCTCTTGGTTTTTTTTTTTAATTCAGATACATTTTTAACGTTTATGTGATTTATAGACACGTGCTCAGCTACACAGTTATACTTTTGAGTTAGTGGGAGTGTCTGTGATTAAGAATACAGAATTCCTCCTTGGTATTTGCTCTTTTATTTTACAGACCTGTTCCATTGCAGAATAAAAACATTAAAATTGATGTTACTTATTCGGCTTGCACGAAACTTAGCCAGTTGCTTATGTGTGCTTTGACAATCAAACACCCTGCAGTTGACATTCACCATAGATTTCTTCAGTCCAGTGAGTCCAGAAAAAACTGAAACCCACAAACCCACGTTAAGCCTCAAACACAGCATATGAGCATCTTCCGACCTGTGTTGGAGCTGGGTGGTTTTGACAGCCTTCGCCAGTCATCCAGCCGTGGCGCATTGTGGGTTTGCATTCCGTTGACCCCAGAACGATTCATTAGAATATCGTTCATTTTCTCTTTCGTATTGAATTGGTTGTCAGTGCCCGGTGGGGCTTCTGTGAGGAGAGACTGGGGATGCTCCGCATGGGTTCCAGCTGGTTCTGGCCAGCTCCAGTGCCTCCACCACCGAGCACGGCCCCGGCACCTCAGGGGAGGTGGGTTGAAGAATTGGTGACCTGCCACTGGCGGCAAGGGCCAAGGGGAAAAGTGTGAGGGTGAAAGGAACAAGGAACAGCCCCGTGAGCCCTGAGGGTAGAGGAGGAGCTGCAGCTAGGTCAGGGACTGCCCT